AGATCAAGTTGGAAAGAACTGACTTCTTGATATACTGTGTATTCCTACCCATATGCATGGACTGTCTCTCCATTCACTTAGATTTTCTTTGATCTCTATTTCAATTTTGGTGCTAACGTACATAGTATTATGTTTTTAATTTCAAATTCCCCTTGCTTATTGCTAGTTCCTAAAGAGTCAATTGACTTTTATATATTAACCTTGTATCTCGCAACCTTGCTATGACCACTTAGTTTTAGGTATTTTTTTGTTGTTGATTCTTTGAGATTTTCTACATAGACAGTCATGTCATCTGCAAACAAAGACTGTTTTATAACTTCCTTCTCAACCTGTTTATCTTTCCCCCCTTTTCTTGTCTTATTCCATTAGTTATGACTTCAAGTATGAGGTTGAATAGGTGTGGTGAGAGTACATTTTTGTCATGTTCCCAATCAATTAGGAAAGTATCTCGTTTCTCAACATTAAGTATAATGTTGAGTAGGTTTTTTAATAGATATTCTTTATAAAGTTAAGGAAGTTCCCCTCCATTCCTAGTTTTTGAGAGTTTTTACCATGAATAAGTGTCAGATTTTCTGCATCTATCAATATGCAGATGATTTTTCTTCTTTAGCCTGTTGATGTGATGGATTACATTAATTGATTTCAAATGTTGAACTAGCCTTGTGTAACTGGAATAAATCCCACTTGGTTGTGGTGTATCATTTTTTATTCATTGTTTGATTTGATTTGCTACTATTCTGTTGAGGAAGAATTGATTTTTGAGCAGCAGTAAAACATATATTATTTTACAATAATCCACATGGTTTTGTGCAGAAAGAAAATTTTTTTACATTCTTTGTATAGTAGAATTTGCAAAGGTTAATTGGGGCTATATAGTCAAGAATATAAAGTAATAGGATTGGGTTAAAAAATGATATCTACATATTTTTTGTATTTGTCCCCTCTCTCCATCTGCAGCATCTCTCACCAATTGTGATACCCTCCCCTTCACTCTCTACCACTCCAAATCACACTACCTTTTAGGAAAGCTCAGAAGGATTTCCAATTTTTCAGGGTAGATTAAACTAAAGATCAAATTAAAGAAGTATTTTTACCTGCTCACTCCTGAAACCAAACAAAAATGATAGTAAAGAAATAAAAAAATGCAAAGCCACAAAAGAGAGAGAGAGAGAGAGAGAGAGAATGGAAAGAAACAACAGATAAGTATTATCAATGAAATTTTGGAAAATGGAAAACAGATGGTAGAGTGGAAATTTTCTTAGCAAGACAGGAGAAAGCTAAAAAAAAACCACAACCAGACTTGTTGGCAATAGCATACCAACAAGAAGCAATCCAATTCACCTAAAAGAACCCTGGGAAGGCCTGGACATTAGAGGCACCAAATAAGACAGAAGGTGGGTGTGAGAATGGGATTAAAGTGTATAAAAAAATCTCTCCCATACTCCATAAACTCCTCTATCAACCCACAGAAGGGGTAAGAGGGTCACTGTATTTTTGGAGAAGTTTAACCCTACACTCTGGCCATGGACACTAGTCATTGTAGAGGAAGGCAATAAAGAAATGTCCCTGAAACATTTTTACATGGAAGTCTGCATAGTGAATGATACCATCCAAGGTCCCTTTTCCCACTATCATCTCCCAAGCGCATATCACTAACCACCACTGCACCACACCACCACCCTTCATCTACCCCTATACTCCTGGAGAAAATGTGCAGAGACATTTGCATTTGGTGTTATTCCAATAAAACAACTATGTGTCTGACAATTACCCTACAGTGAAGCCCACCAGACAACAGCCCTATTCATACACATTAAGCTTCTAATTATTATTTTTTAATATCTATTTCTGTAGGTAAAAGGACAGCCCATGAGCACTAAACAATTGAGGAACACCTTTAATGTTGTTCTTTTTCAAGAAGGCTTTGAATATTTTAAGTCCTTTGCAATTCTACCAAAATACAATTGGCTAGTCAATTTCTACAAAAACACCTGGTTGGATTGAAATCAATTTGGGGAGAAGTAACACACTGGCAATATTGGGTCCTCCAACTCTTCAACATGTATCTCTCCATTTCTGGAGATATTTTTTATTTTTTTCTCAAAGGTATTTTGTAGTTTCCAGGAGAGGGATCTTGCATATCTTTTGCTAAATTCTTCCTAAATGTTGTTAAATTTGACATTTCTGTAAATGGAATTAAAAATTGTCATTTCCAAGGTGCCTAGTGGCTCATTTGGTTAAGCATCTGACTCTTGATTTTAGCTCAGGTCATGATCTCAGGGTCATGGGATCAAGCCCCATATCAGCTCCTTGCTCAGCTCAGAGTCTGCTTAGGATTCTCTCCCTCGTTCTCTGCCCTTCCCCCACTGCTTGTGCATGCACTCTCTCCCTCAAAAAAATTTATTTTCATTTCCAATTGTTTGCTGCTAGTATATAAAGTTAAAATTGATTTTTGAATTGTAAATTCGTATATTGCAACGTTGCTAAATTCTCATCTTTTTTTGTAGATTCCTTAGGATTGTCTACGTCAACAGTCCACGATTTAGACTAATTGATACACCTGTGTAATCCACACTCCATCAAGATATAGAACATCTACCTACCCCCCAAATATCCCTTGTGTCCCTTCCTAGTTAATCCCACCAGAGGCAGTAATTGTTCTGAGTTTTTTCCATCATGAAGTAGTTCTGCCTCCTCTAAAGCTTTGCATAAATGGAATCATACAGTATGTACTCCAGTTTTGTTCACTCAGCATAATGTCTATGAAATTCACCCATACTGTTACATGTATAAATAGTACATTTTGATCACTAATATTACACTGTATGATTATATCAAAATTTTAAAATCCATTTTCCTACCGATAGATCTTTTGTTCCAGATTTTAGCTATTAGGAAGAGAGCTGCGACAAGTATTCCTGTCCAACTATCTGTGTTGGCATACATTTTCATTTCTCTTGGGTATATACCTAGCAGTGGGATTGCTGGCTCAAAGGAAGGGATAACTTTATAAGAAACTACCAAACCTTTCCAACGTGATTTTATAACTTTACATTACACCAGCAATTTATGAGACTGCTTTTCACCCTCCTCTCAACATTTCTATCATCCTTTCTAATTTATTTTAACCATTCTAATGGTGTCTTGTGGGTTTTGTTCCTACGTGGGTATTTGTTTATTTTGGAAACAATCTCAAACTTTCAGAAAAGTTACAGGTACAGTGCAAAGTACTTTTCCTCCTAAACCAGTTGAGAGAAGTTGTTAATATCATGTTCCTTACTCTCAAATACTTTAGTATATATTTCCTAAAGACAAGGATAGTCTCCTGCATAATCACAACACCATCAACAAAGTGAGGAAATTAACATTAATACAGTACCATTTAATTCTTCTACCACATTTAAGTTTCACCAATTGTTCCAGTAACAATCTTAATAGCAAAAGGAGCCGGTCCAGGATAATACACTGCATTTACTTGTCATGTTTCTTTTGTTTCTTTCTATCTGGAATAGCTCCTTGGTCTTTTCTTGATTTTCATGACCTTGACAATTTTCTGAAGATTACAGAACAGTTATTTTGTATAATGTCCTTCAATTTGGGTTTCTCTGCTGTTTCCTCACTATTAGATTCAGCTTATGAATCTTCAACAGGAGTTATCGCAGAAGTGATGTTTTGTGTGTTCTTCTTGTTATGTTCTAGCGGTGGTTCTGATTTCAGTTTGTCCCATTACTAGGGATGTTGCCTTGGTTCATTTGATTAAGATGGTGTCTGCCAGGCTTCTCCCACTATCAAGTTACTTTTTCCCTTTGTAATCAATAAGTGCTTCACGAGGAGGTAATTTAAGACTATATAGACATCTATTCCTTCACCTAACTTTCAATTTATTCACATATTTACTCAGAGCAAGTGTGGACTCATGGATTCTTGTTTTATTCAACAGCTTACAATTTGTTACTATTATTTATTTTGAAGTCATAGTGTTCCAGATTTCACCAGTGGGAATATGGCCTTTGACAGATCACCATCATTCCTTAAGAATTCCTTACTTTAGGGCACAAAATGTTCCAGGCTCATTTTGTACATTCCCTACTCCAGTCCTCAAATCAGTCATTTCTCAACAAAAAGCCTTGGTTCTTTTACATTGAGAAGCATTTTCAGAAATCAAGACTGGGCCTCTAAATACACTCATAGTTGATGTTTTCAAACCTTGTCAGCGGTCGCAGCTAGCAATAATATCGTTGTGTATATCTACGGATACCCACATATACATACATATTCATGGACATAAACACAGGTATATATGCATATACATACACATATTATATCCATACTTATGTATTTACTTACATAAGTGAATTCCAACATGACTAGTTCATTCTACTTTCTACATTTATAACTCCCTTCTCTGACAGTAAGAAACCTAGCTCCCATGATCATTAATATACATTAATAATACATTCAATTTGTTTTCTGGTTGTTCACTTCATTCTTTTTTCCTCTCTTCCTTCCTTGTTTTGGGTTACTTGAATACTTCATAGTATTCCATTTTGATTTCTCTGTTAGCTTTTTAGCTACATATCTTGCATTATTTTTAGCAGTTACTCCAAGGATTTCAATTTACATCTTTATATTACCACAATCTACTTAGACTTTATTCTGTACTGCTTCACATAAAATATAGCAACCTTTGAATATCATAGTTTTATTTACCACTCTTTCAACTTGGTGAGATTTTTGTCATATGTATTATATGTACTTATGTTATAAACCCCACAATACTCTGTTATAAGCTTCATTATGCAATCATATGCTTTTTCAAGAAATTAAGAAAATGTGTACATGCGGCGCCTGGCTGGCTCAGTTGGTGGAGCATGTAACTCTTGATCTCAGGGTTATGATTTCAAGCCCCACTTTGGGTACAGAGATTACTTAAAAATAAAATCTTAAAAAAAAAAGAAAAGAAAATGTGTACATTCTCTCATGTTTACCCAAATACTTACCATTTCCTGTGCTCTTTATTCCTTCCATTGAATCCAAGTTATCATCTGGTGTCATTCATCTCTCACTTAAAGAATTCCCTTAAGTATTTCTTACAGCACAACACACCGATTCTTAGCTTTAGTCCATCTGAAAACATCTTTATTTTTCTTCATTTTTGAAAGATAATCTGGTAGCATATAGAAGCTGGGTTGACAGCTTTACTTATTTCAGTACTTAAAGGTGTTATTCAATCGTCATCATGGGTTGGGTTTCCTAGGAGGTAGAAATTTAGCCAGCAGAACGTTTATTAAGGAGTCTCTTTGGTATCAAAACCTGTGGAAAGGAGACAGAAGCAAGAGTAGTCAGAAGGAAAAACTGAGCTCTGATGCATGTCCTATAGTAGCCTCAGCCAATGCCTGGGGGAGATCTGGAGTAAGAATGGCCCTTCAGATTTGTCTTGCATCGGGCCAAGAAGGTCAGGTCCCGATCAACCCCTGGCTGTAGGTATCCCAGGAAGAGGCTTGATCTTAAGTGAGTCAGTGCTCTACAGCTGAGGCAATCCCCCCGAAAGGGGCTGAAAACAGAAGGCTGTCTGCTGACGGCACTCCTCCCAGCTGGGGCAATGGGTTTCCCACTAATGTGAGCTGGGTGTGTATCACAGACTTCTGGTCTCCCCTGTTTCTCAGGAGAAGTCTGCCTTATTTGTATATTCTCCTGGCTCCTTCTTCTTTGTCTTTAGATGCCAACAGTCGGTCACATGCCTAGTATTGTTTTCTTTGTATTTACTCTGCGTGTGCTTCACTGACCTTGGATCCATTAGTGTTTTTACCAAATGGCTAAGTTTTCAGCCATTATTTCTTCAAATATTTTTTCTTCCCTACTCTCTTGGCTCCTTCTAGTATTCCAATCACATGTATTAGACTGCTTGGATTTCAGAAACCATAGCTCTCTGGAAATCTATTCATATTTCTTCTATCTTTTCTCCCTTTTCTTGAATCTGAACAATTCCCATTTATCTGCTTTCAAATTCACCGATTCTTGTGCATTCTCCAATCTGCCATTAAGCAGATCTAGTAAGTTTTTCATTTTTAGTTGCTGTATTTTTCACCTAGAATTTTCATTTGAGTCTGCTATAGACTGAATGTGTCTCTCCCTGCCATTCACATGTTGAAATCCTAACCCCCAGTGTGATGGCATTAGGGCGTGGGGCCCCTGAGAGGTAATGAGGTCATGAGGTGGAGTCTTCGTGAATGGTATTAGTGCCCTCCTACAAGAAGCCCCAGGGAGCTCCCTTACTCTTTCTGTCATGCAAGGACACAGGAGAAGGTGACCATCTATGAACGAGGAAGCAGGACGTCACCAGAGACCAGATCTGTTGGTGCCTTGATCCTGGACTGCCCGGCTTCCAGAACTGTGAGAAATAAATGTTTGTTATTTAAGCCACCCAGGCTATGGGGTTTTTGTTAGAGCAGCGCAAACACATGAAAATGGACTTTTCATTCTATTTTGGGGCTGTTTCTCCATCTGTTCATTCACCAAGACTACATTTTCCTGTAAGTCCTTATGCATATTTATAATAGCTGCTTTAAAGTCTCTGTCTACTATGTACCACGTAAGGTTTGGTTTTCCTTGATTGTTTTCTCCTTCTTGCATATGGGTCATATTTTCCCGTTTCTTTACACATTTGGTCATTTTTATTGTATACTAGACATTAGGAATTATACATTGTAGAAATTCTGGATTCTATTATATTGCTCAGAAGAGTGCAATTTTTGTTCTAATAGGGAATCAAATTGGCTGGACTCAAATTCCTAAGTCTGTCTCCTCTGTTTTTGGGTGACAGCTGAAATATCTGCTCAATTCTTTCAGTTTCTAGCGGTCACTTTTTCTCTGTATTCTATGTGGTCTCTCCTACTGATTCATATTTCAGCGGCTGGACAAGAATTTGAGCAGTTTATATGCAGATTTGGGGTTCACCACCTCTATGACCCCCTCCCTCCTCGGATGCGCCCTCCCAGCTCCCCAGTTGCTCTTCCAGTCCTGAACTCTATACTCTGATACCAGTATTCAGGAGGCTTCATTCTGAGCCACATAATGGATTGGCAAACAACTGTGAGGAAAACTCCAAATCAAAAATCACAATGGTGTAATTCCAATCTTTTAAAGGTAGACTCCTCTCCAATACCTGCCTGCATCTAGTCTCTGTCAAACATCTTCAAATAGTTGGTTTTTAATATTCCCATCCAGACTCTATCATTGTTATCTGTGGGAAGATTAGCCTGACCGAGGTACACTACCATTACTTGAAGTCAAATTTCCCCATATTACTATTGTTCTCCATACTGGAATCATACCTAAATCCTGATTTGTCTATGTCAGTGTTGTAATTCATTTGCTTTGCATCGGTGCTATGTTTAGGGAGGGTCATAGATCAGTCTGGAAACCCGAAGCTACTCTTTGCTGTCTAGCTATAAAGGGCTTTAATACAGGGAATTGGTGGCTTATCCCAAAAAAAGCCTTAAGGGAGCGATGGTTAGAGAAACCGCTACTGACCTCAACTTGGAGTGCTCAAGCAGGTGGTTTTCAAAACTCGCCTTGAAGTTTCCACAATTCTGGCTGCAACTGACTGGAGAATAATGAACTCTCCGTTACTTTGGTTCAAGGATGCCTCTCATCAGTACACTCCAGCCTGGGACCATACAACAAAGGGGAATCTAGCAAATGTAGCTCCTGGCTTCTCTTCAAAGCAAAGGAGACTTTAGAAGGGGTGGTGGTGATGCCAAGTTGATCACAGGTAATTCAAACAGGGCATGTGACCCAAATTAGCCAAAGGCACAGGAGGGAAAGGGAGCTGCAGAGCTTCTGGAAAAAAATTATTTGCTGATAAACTAAAAACGAAACGAAACGAAACAAAACAAACCCAAAGACTCACAAGAACAATGGTCCTTCTTCTTACAATGGAGTTTTTTCATGTGATTCTTGGAACAGAGGCATTGATCTTATGATCGTGATGAGGAGCCAGCTGAGATGGAAGCAAATATGGTGTCTGAAGCCTGTCCAGCCTGGACTTCCTGTTGTGAGAATAAGTGTTATTATTTAAGATATTTTCAAATTGGTTTATTTTGTTACTTGCAGCAGATGCGGTCCCTTATTTAGATCATAGAGGTAAATCCCAGAAGAAACATTTAAAGGGGTGAAAGTGGTAGCCTTTAAGGAGTAAGACTGGGGTAATGGGATGTGGTACAGTGCACATTGGCTTTTATTCTATGTCTTATGCTATTTAACATTGTGAAGAAGATACATGCACTACTTGGATAAAAAAAAATTAATTAGAAAAGAGACAATCTGACAACTCCTCTCCCTCTCCACACCACAGTTTTCATGATTAACTCTGATTTTAGCACAAAAGGAAATGGCAGCTAAACACAACAGTTCTTCCCTGCTTTTATTTCAGGTGATCATCACTTCTAGTTGCCTATTGAAGAATCCCATCCTCATCCCCCTCAATCTACTGTCTGCCACTAAAATTATCATTCCAAAGGGCAAATATGATCACATCTCTCTCCTGCTTAAAACCCCTAATTGGCTTCATTTTGCCTCTACAGGATAAAATGCAAATTCCATAATATGGCATCCAAGACTCTTCATGATCTGGGCCCTTACATTCTCTAATGTATATACTCCAGCTATTTTGAAAATCTTGCTTTTCTCCACACTCAGACATCCATTCTTTTGAAGTTTCTTTCGTTTGGAACATCCTTCCTAAATAATCCACTTTCAGCTCCCTGTCTGTGAAGATTTCTTACTCCTGCAGTTCTCCTATAGTCTCTTCTTCCAGATGCATTGTAGATACCTATAGCCTCCATCAGCACAAATTATATTACAGCTCAAAAACCACCTACTAGTAAGTTTGAAATCCAGAAAATCTCTTAAAACTGAAATATTTTTTGGTAACTCATTTGGTGACAAAACCTGAATGGAACTACTTACATTTATAGTCTCAATGTATTCCAATTTGTATTAATATTCATTAATTTTGCTGCAGAAATATTAATGGGTTTCATTGCAGAGTGAAGCCTCAGACCCCACTGGCACCATTCTGAAAATGGCACTTCGACATGTCTCATCCCACAAGTTCTTCTAGAACTTTTACCACTTATCAAGAGGAGAGGTCTATTTCCTCTCCCCCCCTTGAAAATGGGAGTGATTTTATGACTAAAAGTAGTGGAGGTGATACTGCTTGACTTCCAAGGCTAGGTCATAAAAGGTGATATGGCTTCTGCCTATTTTCCTTTCCTCTCTCAAAATGCTTGCCCTTGGAACTCAGCCACCATGTTGTGAGGAAGCTCAGCCACATAGTGAGGCCACCTGTAGCTGTTCCAGGCCACAACCCCAGTCAAGATCTCAATTACCAGTATTCATCAATGACCAACCAGTATCAACTACCAGTAATGAGAATGAGTTGATAAACTGCAGATGATACCCAGCCTTGGCACTCAAGTGCCCCCACTTGTTGGCTGAGTGAAGCAAAGACAAGCTGATGCCAAGCCTTGCCCCAAACATAGATTTATGAGAAAGACAAATGTTTTTGTTTTAAGGCACAAAATTTTAGGTAATGTTCTGCAGCCACAGTGATTGGAATCTCCTCCTATTGCCTTGTAAAAATGTGAAATATTCTGAATTCTAAAACCCATCAAAGGTTTCAGATAAGATCTGCATACTAAAATCATGTTTGTATATCTACTTTTCTATAGAATTAGAAGTTCTTTGAGGACAAGAACTTAGTTTTCCTTTTTTTTTTTCTTGGTATTCTCAGAGCTACCATTTAAGATTGGGTAGGTTCTCAAGGCCTGTCTATTGAATTAATGTTGAATGTATAGGTGAATGAAAAAATAAACACAGTTCCAAACAGTTATTTTGAAATAGTTTTTCAGTAGATTATACTTTTATTCAACTCAATCCATTCCTCAAAAATAACTTAGATTACCTTATTTTTATAATTTTTTTCAGTTTATGAACTATACAAAAAGCTTCATCAATTTTCCTATGTTGTTTTTATCCATAAGTGTTATCTTTTTTTTAAAGTTCTTTTTTTTTTAAGATTTATTTTAGAGAGAGAGCGAGCGAGCATGCATGTGAGCAGGGCCAGGGGGAGGAGGAGAGGGAGAGAGAATCTCAAGCAGACTCCCTGCTGAACGCAGAACCCAATACAGGGCTCAATCCCACGACCCTGAGATCATGACTGAAACCAAGAGTCAGACACTTAACCCACTGAGCAACTCAGGCGTCCCCAGAAGTGTTATCTATTATGATTATGTACTTTATCCACCAAAGTGTGTTCCAAATTAGCCTTGGCTGTTTCCAAAAGTCAAATGCATCCTTAAGGATGAAGATTTCGCATTACTGAAGATAATTTACTTTGATATCTTTATTATCAATATCAAATTACTTTATTTGACATAGACTCTGAAGGTTATGCCAAAACAGGAGATCCCAATGTTTTTGAACAATGCAGTGTTCAAACGCAATGCAATGTGTGGAAATGATGCACAGATGCAAGGATTGCTGCATCCATGTTGACAACTATGGAAGAAAAATACATTAATTTGGAGTGTAAGTTCTATCTTGCATTACCAAAATATAAGTTTATTTCTCTCCTGCTCATATGTCACATATACATCATGTCACACATGTACTTAACTACACGAGGAAAGGTGATAAAGGTAGAGAGAAAATCCATAATGTCATAAAGACATGAATAGATAGCATTGATTTATTTTTTAATGTCCCTGTCGGGAATAACGGTTTCAGCCCCTCCCAGGTAATGGTATAATGATGAAATCATGAGGTACGAGTTTTACAGTTTTGCTGCCCAACAACTGTCTGATCAGAATTTACTGGATCCTTACTGCCCTGCTTTGTCCTCCCTCCCCATGTTGTGTAAATGGCAGAAGCTGGGGTATATGCAGGTGTATTTCAGGACCATTCACGTTCAGAGGAAATCTCTGTGAAAGCAAGAGCCATTAGACAAAAATAATATTAACCACAGTCTCTCAAAAAATGCCAAGAGGGGGACGAATCTTACAACCCACGGCACAACTTCCAATCTTTTCTTTCTCCTCTCTGGTGTTTCATGGAGTCCGGCAGGAACACTGCCTGCAGACCTTCTTCTTTCCTGTCATATTCCTCTAAAATCCCCCTTTCTCACTCTCTCTCCCATGCCCCCTTCCACACACAGGGCACCCTATTCTTCTTCAGCCTACTCCTCTCACCTTCTCCATCTGTTATTTTCTCATCGTGCTGCTTCCTGAGATCAATTGGACTGGCCTTGGCTGTATTAATACCCTTCCTCATGCATTAACCTGGTCCCAATGCAATCCTGGGACCAGGGACACAGCGCAGATGAAAAGAAACTCTCTTTTTCAAGGTGAGGAGGGGGAGAGGCTGTGAATCCTGAAATATGAATCTTTTCCCTTGTCATACCGACATCGTACAGGCAGAATTCCATTTCACTAAACAGAAATAGTATGATGGGTAACCTCAGCCAGATACACTGTGAGGACAGCATAAAGTACAGCATAACCCACCTATGGACTCTAGATGAGCAGTTCAAGGACCACATCTTCACCAGCATATATTGCTGCAGACCTGCTGGGGTCTGGATAAATTGATATTGATTTAAATGGATGTGTAAACAGTGTCATGAGGAACTATCTCATCCCTGGGGCTACCTTATTGCTGGGGTCCCTCTCCTTTCACCGAATACGTCAGGTATCACTTTTCTAGGCTTCCAAGAGAGTTTAAAGACCCAGAAATTACCAAAGACCTGATAATAAAAGCCAAGTATCCACTCCTATTTCCCCTTCCCCCACCTTTGGACCCTGAACCCCAGAAATTCTGGGGCTTGAAGGGTGGAGATGCTGCAAAGCAGAAATTCCCATTTATGATTACGAAATAAAACACAGTACACTGAATTTCACATAGAGAATGAATAATTTCTTAGTATGAGTAGGTCCCAAATATTGCATGGGGTATACTTATACTTAAAAGAAAAGCATTCTTTATGTGAAGTTCTTTATGTGAAGTTCAAATTTAACTGAGCATTCCTGTTTCAATTATCCCTGGAGATCTGGTAACCCAAATTTAGGACAATCAATGAAAAGAATATCAACCAGGAATGATTACGTTAGGCTTAAAAATGGGTATTCTTAGGTAGATACTTTCTCTTGACTTGCCCATTAAAAATATACCTAGAAGGGCGCCTGGGTGGCTCAGTCGGTTAAGCAGCTGCCTTTGGCTCAGGTCATGATCCCAGGGTCTTGGGATGGAGTCCCACATCAGTCTCTCTGCTCAGCAGGGAGTCTGCTTCTCCCTCTGCCCCTCCCCCCTGCTCATGCATACTCTCCCTCCCCCCCAACAAAAATACATACATACATACATACATAATCTTTTTTAAAAAGTACCTAAAACATCATAATATCAAAAAAAAAAAGCTGTCTCTGAAAACAACAGGATCAGATATAGTCTGGAGTAGTAAGATGCTTAAGTAGCTAGAAATGTTTTATTGGTGTACTAGAGTTAGAGACTAAGTCAGTTTGTCCTTAAAGCATATGATGCTGTAGCCATGTGATAATTTACTTGTCAGCACAACTTGTAGGGATGAGCTCAAAGTCTCCTCTCAGTGTCTGGAAAGGGAGATGGGAATTGCAAAGCAAACTGCTTGTAGGAACATATAAAAATCTAGAGGAAATCTGCGTTGCCCAACTGAGAAGACAAAGAGATCAAAGACACTACAGTAAAATGTAACCATGATCACCTGGAAAACTTAGGCGTGAAGGGTAGGCATCGGCCAAAGTGCTCAAAAGCTCATGATGTTTTTGTCTTAAAAAACGCTAATACAGATTGAGTCCAAAAGTGAAAACTTTCAGAGATAAACACAGTCTAATCTGGTTTATTCTCACTTGCTCATCCCCATAAGAAAAGAAAAAGCAGTCTCAGCTTAATTCTTCAGAGATTGAAACTCGTGTCTTATAGCTTCACGGGGGTTGATCATTACTTTCAAAGCAAATACGGAATATATTTACATCTTATTTAAAACATAATTATAAATTACTTCAATGAAATTAGCAAAATTTACTAGAATGGTATAACGTATTTACATGGATTATTAATTACTAATAATCAATTTATGAAACCAGATGTACCAGATCACTTAAGTTCTATAGCAGACATCCAGTTTACTTGTTTTGCTTTGCTTTTTTAAAAACTACATGTCCCCGCAAAGACACAGATCTCATTCAAACGTTCTTAAGCAAAGATTCAAATACTCAGGATGCTGCAGAGACAATGAGAGGCCCGTGGTTGACTCCGTCCTCGGAGTGGACTGGGGCTGCACTAGTTCTGGGGACAACTGGGGGCTCATAGGAGGTTGGGCTCAATGAGGTGATTCAGCCCACAGGAAAACAGAGCAAGCCTCCCCCGCCAGCCCCCCTCCCCCCGCCCCCGCCCGGAGAACACAGCAGGGGATCAAGGAGAGGCACTCAGGGTATGAGTGAAAGAGGGTGAGGTTTAAGTGAAGGCTCGGACAACAGGTAAGAGACTGTCCTGCAAGGTGTCCTCTAACAAAGTCCAAAACTTAGGCTATTTTGCTGAAATACGACTTGAGAGCTGTGATGGTTATTTTTATGCATCAAACTGACTGGGACATAGGCGCTCAAATCAAATGTCGTTTCTGGGTGTGCCTGTGAAGGTGTTCCCAAATGAAATGAGCACTTGACTAGGGGGCCGCGGTAAAGTAGATCGCCCTCCCCAAGTGGGTGGGCATTATCCAAACCCTTGAGGGTCTGAAGAAAACAATAAGGCAGAGGAAGGAGGAATTCGCCCCTTTGGCTTCCTCCCTGCCTGCTTGAGCTGGGACTGACTGAGTCCTCTCCTGCCCTTGGACTGAGAGTTACAGCCTCGGCCCCTCTGGTTCTTTGGCCTTCAGACTCAGACTGAGCTACACCACTGTCCTGCCTGGGTCTCCAGCTTCCAGAATCAGACTGTGGGACTCCTTAGCCCCTGGGTTAATTCCTCAAAGGAATCTCTCTATCTGTGTCTTTATCTATGTCTCCTATTGATTCTGTTTCTCTGGAGAGCCCTGATTAATATAAGAGTAAAAACAAGGCCATTGAACATCACGGAGGGAAATAAACTTAGACCCACCCAACCTAGCGACCTCTTCCTGCACATCTCCTCCCCCCAGCCCCTAATCTGAATTCCATTTCCCAGTGTGCCTTCGGTGTTTTAGAAGTGATGGCCCATGTAAAGACAGCGGCTCTTTCTCCTTTTAGCAGCTTTCCAAACTGTACACTCACTGAAGGCAGGCGCAGTTTCCCAGAGGCCTGTATTTCCCACATGGCCTAAAACCTAGAAGCAAGGGTTTTGCACATAGGTAGGAGTTTCAGTGAATTAATGAATGCAATCTCCAAATGGCTAACATTTAAAAACACTAACTAGTATTGTATTATTAATCTCAAAAACAAAACAAAACCAGACCACCCAGAGAGCATCCTACCTTTACGGTTCTCCCCCAGACTCCTTGAGAAGGAGACAGAGCACAAGGTCAGGGGGCGTGAAGGGCAGACTGCATTCTCCCGAGCTGTGGGTTTGGCACCCTTTACCAGCATTAAATTAGCCATAAGAAAAATGAATGACAGTCCTGTCAGCATGCTATACACTTTGGGGAAAAGAACAAATGAAATCATATTGACAAAATACGTCTCCTTTTTCTCTAGAATTGTTCATTTGATCTTTATCCCAAAGCTTCTTTAACATGATTAACCAAAGACTGAAAACTGAAGATATGAGATACACAAAAGCTTATTAGATTATCTAGTCCATTTTTTAGGCCACATGTACAATTACGTGTTCCCTATAGAAATATTTTCTAGAACTTTGTCTGCCCCTTTCCCAGTAGACTTCTCTGAATGTCTTAAAGTCTTTTCTGGGGAGCGTGTTCCAGTTAGGCTCATCTTAGACACCTGACAGTTTTTCTGAAGCTTCTATTTCAATTTGTCTTATTTAAATTTTGCCCCATTACTCCTACTTAGACCCTTTTCCCGTCACCATATTGTAGATAGTTTTCATATTCCTTTTTAGGCATAATTTAACCATTCTTCACACATTAACTTGAGTAGACAGTATATGGTATAAATTACACAAAACAGCGATGTGTGAAGACATTCTGTGGTGAATAAATTAAAGCATTAATTTCAGACATATCAAACTAACACTTTTTAAATTTGTGGTTCCTATAATTTTCAGACCTGCTTCTAAAGTCTCTGCAGGGGGGAATTAAATGGAAGAGATTAGTCTAAAACTTCTCCTTTCATTTCATAGGGTTGGAGATCAGCCATTCCCATGAATATTTAAGAGAGAAAGAATTTTTTTTTTAAAGAATTTAACACAAAGGTCCTAGTCAGATTTAAGGAGATGTAGCCATTCAGACATACAGGTGAAAAAGATTAGGCTTAGCAAACTCCCTAGACATCGTCACCAACAATCTGGCAGTTAAGAGAGAATTAAGGAAGAGGGCATTATTGCCCACAGAGTATATGTGAAACTGGGTACAATGAATCTGAATTGACTGAATAAGTGCATGTGTTTATAGTACGCAGATTAAAAAAAAAGAGAGAACCTAACTCCAATTTAACCAAAATTCCTCTGTGAGAGCACAGGCTCTCCTGGGACCCTGGGGTCTCTGGTTTCCAGAACTGATACAGAATCACTGAATGGACAAGGATCTGGCACCAAAACATATGCACACAGTCCCTTTGAAGTAGTGCGACTTGAGAAGAATCAAGTTTATCCCCGCTCTCAGTTTTAATTTTCACCGTAGTATTTACCACATTTACATTATTTTTTAGTTTGTTTCTTGTCTGTCTCCTCTGGCCCTTACCTAGAATCTAAGCTCCATGAGGACAGAAATTGTATGTTTTTGTCTTGTTCACTTCTGTATTCCCAGTGCCTAGAACACTGTCTGACCCACAGCAGGCAGTTAAGGATTGGTTAAAGGAAGTCACTTATTTGGCACTGATTTCTCCGTTTACAGAGTCAGACAGAAAAATAGCATGCATATGTCTTGGCTAAAAAGAACTAGATCAAAAAAAAATTCTTCTCCTATGGGAAGAAGTTTTTTAAATTCTTGAGGGTAGGCTTTGAGATAGTATTATTCCTTAAAATATAAACTAGGAAGTGTCTCAGATCTGACCATGTAATCCAAGGTGCAACAGATGAGGCTCCATGAGGGCAGACGCAGCGCCACATTGTTCTCTCTGCATCAGCTTCCGACACAGACCTGGAATGAGGAATAAATAAGATCGGTTGGAATAGTTGATACAGACTATGCTAGCCACTGGTCTAAGCAGTCACATGCATTAATTCATTTACTCTTTACAATAGTTCTACCTGAGGACACAATTATTATCCACAGGTTCTCAAAGAACATAAAGCGTAAGAGAATAAGTAACTGCCGGTTATCAATGTACTGTTTCTCAGCTCCAAACCCACCCTCCTTTGCCCGGTTTTGTGAGCTGGGACTGGCCAAATATTGCGTCAACAGAGGGCACCAGAGGGACACTGCAAGGCTGCAGCCCCAGGAAGACCCTCCCCTGCAGGCCCCAGCCCTCCATGTTTGTTCTTCGGCAGGAGAAACCAGAAGGCCACTTGGAGGAGTCCCGGCTGTACCTTGGGCCACGCTGTCCTCCCTGGCTGCTTCTGCAGCACAGCTCTGGCCCTACCTTCTGGAAAGTCTTTTCCCACCAGCAGGCTGCATGTTCCTGAGGTACCCACAGCTTCTCTGAAGAGGACTGACTCCCAGCCTGGCCCTTAGTTCCTTTATTGTCTCCTCTCCTCAGCCAAGAGGTAGTGGTTGGCACACACTTTTTACTCCTGTAAGTAGCTAGCCCTTTCTACTAGTTAACAATTCTTTATTAAATTGTCTCTGGATAGAGTGCTGGAAGGGTACTCTATTATTTCAGACCCCAAGTAGTCCAAGAACATACCACTAGGAAACAATCAAGCTGGGCTTCAAACCCAAAAAGTCTGATACCAGAGGGACACTCCAAACTATGATGCTACACTGTCTCCAATGTTTGGGATAGAATCCAGGTTAACTTCCCCCACAGCCTGGACCCACTGAGGCCGCAAAAATGAGAATTGCAATCCAGGAGTAAAGTATTGAATTGCATCTCCTCAAATATAACATGGATTAATACTACACAACCCTAATCTTAATATTTCAAATCCCTTTTTTTTAAGATTTTATTTATTTATTTATTTGTCAGAGAGAGAGAGAGAAAGCACAGCAGGGGGAGCGGCAGGCAGAGGGAGAAGAAGGCTCCCCGCTGAGCTAGGAGCCTGATGCGGAACTTGATTCCAGGGTCCTGGGATCATGATCATGACCTGAGCTGAAGGCAGACACTTAACTGACTGAGCCACCCAGGTGTCCCTCAAATCCCTTTTACATGCAGAATTTCACCACCAAACAAGTATAGAATTGATAAGGCGTATATTACTATTCCTATAGATAAAGAAACTGAAGCCCACAGATGTTAAAATTACACAAGTAGTTACATTCAAGTCTTCCAACTCCCAGCCAGAACTTTGTCTATAATATTGCCATCTTGCCTTGAGTTTTAGTTACTCTGGAGTGAATTGGACTATGAGATTGAATAATGGATCTCCAAAAGATCCATGTCATAATCCTTGAAGCCTGTGCTTTGCAGGCTTCACAACTTTGCAGATGTGATTAAATTAAGGGGAGAGAGGGAATGATCCTAGATAATCAGGGTGGCCCCTAAATGCGATCATAAGAGTCCTCATAAGAGAGGGGCAGAGAGAGACTTCACACACGCAGAGGAAAAGATGTTGTGAAGACAGAGGCAAAGATGGGAATGATGTGGCCACAGGCCAAGGAATGCAAGTAGCCTCCAGAAGCTGGAAGAGAAAATGCACAGAAAGAGACAAGGAACAGATTCTCCTCTAGAGCCTCTGTAGGGAACACAGCCCTGCTAACACCTTGACAATAGCCCAGCAATACTGATTTCCAACTTCTGGCATCCAGAACTGTGAGAGACCAAATTTCTATCATTTTAAATCACCAAGTTTGTGGTAATGTCTTATAACAGCTTCAGGAAGAAACTAATATACTGACAAATTCAAGTTTAAAAGAAAAGTTTATACAGATAGAAAATAATTTCTAAATATGACATAAATACTTTTATAAAATTAGAGTCATGAAAATGAAGATGCTGAGCACCTGGGTGGCTCAGTCGGTTAAGCCTCCAACTCTTGATTTTGACTCAGGTCAGGATCTCAGGGTCGTGAGATCAAGCCCTGCACCAGGCTCGTACTGAGCATGGAGCCTGCTTGATATTCTCTCTTCCTCTCCCTTTGCCCCACCCCCCATGTGCTCACGTGCACATTTGCTCTCACTCTCGCTCTCTCTCTCAAAAAATAAATAAAATGAAGGATGTTAAGAACACGCAGAATGGGGGTGCCTGGGTGGCTCAGGTGGTTAAGCATCTGCCTTCGGCTCAGGTCATGATCCCAGGGTCCTAGGATCAAGCCCTGCATCAGGCTCCCTGCTCAGTGTGGAGTCTGCTTCTCCCTCTCCCTCCACCTCTCTGCCCCCACGTTGGTGTTCCCTCTTGCTCATTCTCTCTCAAATAAATAAATAAATCTTAAGAAAAAAAAAAAGGAACATTGAGAATGAAAACACAAGCTACACAGAAAATAAAATATTCCAAAATTGAATCAGGGAGAAATAGAAAATCTGAATAGCCCAATTACTAGTCACAAAATTGAATTGGTAATCAAAAAACTCCCAACAAACAAAAGTCCAGGATGAGATGTTTTCACAGGTAAATTCAACCAAACATTTACAGAAGAGTTAATATCTATTCTCTTCAAACTATTCCAAAAAACAGAGAGGAAGGAAAGCTTACAAATACATTCTACAAGGCCAGCATTACCCTGGTACCAAAACCCAGACAAAGAAACTACAAAAAAAGAAAAAGAAAGAAAACTATAGGCCAATACCCCTGATGAACACAGATGCAAAAATCCTCAACAAAATATTAGCAAACCACATTCAACAATACAATAAAAGGATCATTTACCATGTTCAAGTGGAATTTATTCTGGGAATGCAAGGATGGTTCAATATCTGCAAGTCAATCAATGTGACATACCACATTAAGAAAATGAAGGATAAAAACAATACAATCATCATAATAGATGTGGAAAAAACATTTGACAAAATTCACCATCCATTTACGCTAACTCTCAAAAAAGTGGGTTTCAAGGGAACATACCTCAACATAATAAAGGCCATATGTGAAAAACCCACAGCTAATATCATACTCAACATTAAAAGCTGAAAGCTTTTTGTTTAAGATCAAGAACAAGACAAGAATGTCCATTCCCTTCACTTTTACTGAACATAGTACTGTCTATTCAACATAGTCCTAACCAGCAATTAGATAGGGAAAAGAAATAAAAAGGCATCTGAATTGATAAGGAAGAAGTTAAACTGTCACTATTTGCAGATGACATGACACTGTACATATAAAACCCTGAAGACCCCACCAAAAAACTATCAAAAATAGTTATAGAACTTACAGAATTCATCAAAAACTCCATAAAGTTGCAGGATACAAAACCAATATACAAAAATATGTTGTGTTACACATGTTAAGAAAAAAGAAAAAGAAGAAGATAGCAGGAGGGGAAGAATGAAGGGGAGTAAGTCAGAGGGGGAGACGAACCATGAGAGACAATGGACTCTGAAAAACAAACTGAGGGTTCTAGAGTGGAGGAGGGTGGGGGTCTGGGTAGGTCTGGTGATGGGTATTAAAGAGGGCACATTCTGCGTGGAACACTGGGTGTTATGCACAAACAATGAATCATGGAACACTACATCAAGAATTAATGATGTAATGTATGGTGATTAACATAACAATAAAAAATTTTTTAAAAAATAAATAAAAAAATATGTTGTGTTTCTATACACTAATAACAAAGTAGCAGAAAAGAAATTAAGAAAATAATTCCATTTACAATTACATCAGAAAGAATAAAATGCCTAGGAATAAACTTAACTAAGGAGGGTTAACCAAGACCTATACTCTGAAAACTACAGAACACTGATGAAAGAAACTAAAGTCGACACAAATAAATGGAAAGATATTCCACGTTTATGGATTGGAAGAATTAATATTGTTAAAATGTCCATATAACCAAAAGCAATCTACAGATTCAGTGCAATCCCTATCAAAATACCAACAGCAGTTTCACAGAACTAGAAGAGATAATGCTAAAATTTATATGGAACCACAAAAGATTCCAAATAGCCAAAGCAATCTTAAGGACAAAGCTGGAGGTATCACAGTCCCAGACTTCAAGATATACTACACAAAGCTATAGTAATCAAAACAGTATGATACTGGCCTAAAAATAAACACATAGATCAATAGAACAGAATAGAAAGCCCAGAAATAAACCCACACTTACATGGTCAATTAATCTGACAAAGGAGGCAAAAATATACAATAAGGAAAAGTCTCTTCAACAAATGGTGTTGGGAAAACTGGACAGCTACATACAAAAGAATGAAACTGGACCACTTTCCCACACCATCCACAAAAAGAATTAAAGATCTAAATGTAAGACCTGAGACCATAAACTCAGAAGAAAACATAAGCAGTAATCTTTCTGCCATTGGCCTTAGCAACATTTTTCTAGATATAGCTCCTCAGGCAAGGAAAATAAAAACAAAATTAAACTATTGGTACCATACTAAGATAAAAATCTTTTGCACGGCAAAGGAAACCATCTACAAAATGAAAAAGCAACCTACTGAATGGGAGAAAATATCTGCAAATGATACATCCAATAAGGGATTAATATCCAGAATACATAAAGTATACAACTCAACACCAAAAACCCAAATAATCCAATTTAAAAATGGGCAGAGGAACTGAATAGACATTCTTGCAAAGAAGACATCCAGATAACCAACAGACACATGAAAAGATGGTCAGGGAAACGCAAACCAAAATCACAATGAGATACCACCTCACACCTGTCAGAATGGCTGAAATCAAAAACATGAGAAACAACAAGTGTTGGTGAGGATGTGGAAAAAAAGGAACCCCCGTGCACTGTTGGTGTCAATGCAAATTGGTGCAGTATGGAAAACAGTATGGAGGTGCCTCAAAAAATGGAAAATAGAATTACCATATGATGCAGTAATTCCACTACTGGTTATTCAT